GCCAAAAACATGACCTAAATTCCTCCTGCACGGGAGTGTTTGTGTACCAGCAACAATCCTACACAGGAGATTTACCTTGGAAGTGTTTGTGTACCAGCAACAATCCTACACAGGAGATTTACCTAAAAACTTTGACCACACTCCCAAAACCTGACAAAACTGAGGTCCAGACTGATAGGTCGCAGTTGGCATGCAATCTCCACCACAGGAGGAATCTCCACCACAGGAGGAAATAGAATTTCCTGGGATCAAGGCTGCTGCAGCAAAAAGACATTAACATTATACCTCCCGCACGGGAGACCATATAACTATAGGTTTGAGAAGAACTAATCCGCCGACCCTGGCCTTCGCCAAGGCAGGGGCGGCGCCTGGGACCACCGGAGGTGTGGAACCTGCTTTGTCATAGCCTTCTGTTATTGAGGCATTCAAGCCTGCCGTAACCAGGCTTCAAACGCTTAAAACTCTTAAAACCCTCCAAATCCCTCGCGTTACCTGCCACCAAGCCCCTTCAAACGTTCAAAACCCTTACAACCCTCCAACTGCTGCACTGCTTCCTCGCGGCAGCTGCCACCAAGCCCTCTCATCGTCACCCTTTGCTGCTCCAGCGTTGCAGCCTGCCCTTTGCCTGCACATCCCTCGCGGCAGCTTCCACCAAGCTCCTGGCCGTCAGCGTTCCAGCATTGCAGCCTGCCCTTTGCCTGCACAGAGCCTTCTCTTGTTAGGGCATTCAAGCCTGCCGCTTGCCAGGCTTCAAACTCTTAAAACCCTTAAAACCCCTAAAACCTCTCAAACCCTCCAATTCCCTCGCGGCAGCTGCCACCAAGCCCTCTCATCGTCACCCTTTGGTGCTCCAGGGTTGCAGCCTGCCCTTTGCCTGCACATCCCTCGCGGCAGCTTCCACCAAGCTCCTGGCCGTCAGCGTTCCAGCATTGCAGCCTGTATTTTGCCTGCACACAGCCCTCTCTTGTTAGGGCATTCAAGCCTGCCGTTTGCCAGGCTTCAAACCCTTAAAACCCTTAAAACCCTCAAACCCTCCAATTCCCTCGCGGCAGCTGCCACCAAGCCCTCTCATCGTCACCCTTTGCTGCTCCAGCGTTGCAGCCTGCCCCTTTGCCTGCACATCCCTCGCGGCAGCTTCCACCAAGCTCCTGGCCGTCAGCGTTCCAGCATTGCAGCCTGCCCTTTGCCTGCACACAGCCCTCTCTTGTTAAGGCATTCAAGCCTGCCGTTTGCCAGGCTTCAAACTCTTAAAACCCTTAAAACCCCTAAAACCCCTCAAACCCTCCAATTCCCTCGCGGCAGCTGCCACCAAGCCCTCTCATCGTCACCCTTTGGTGCTCCAGCGTTGCAGCCTGCCCTTTGCCTGCACATCCCTCGCGGCAGCTTCCACCAAGCTCCTGGCCGTCAGCGTTCCAGCATTGCAGCCTGCCCTTTGCCTGCACACAGCCCTCTCTTGTTAGGGCATTCAAGCCTGCCGTTTGCCATCGCGGCAGCTGCCACCAAGCCCTCTCATCGTCACCCTTTGGTGCTCCAGGGTTGCAGCCTGCCCTTTGCCTGCACATCCCTCGCGGCAGCTTCCACCAAGCTCCTGGCCGTCAGCGTTCCAGCATTGCAGCCTGCCCTTTGCCTGCACACAGGTTTTAAAACCCCTAAATCTCTCAAACCCTCCAATTCCCTCGCGGCAGCTGCCACCAAGCCCTCTCATCGTCACCCTTTGGTGCTCCAGCGTTGCAGCCTGCCCTTGCCTGCACATCCCTCGCGGCAGCTTCCACCAAGCTCCTGGCCCTCAGCGTTCCAGCATTGCAGCCTGCCCTTTGCCTGCACACAGCATTCTCTTGTTAGGGCATTCAAGCCTGCCGTTTGCCAGGCTTCAAACCCTTAGAACCCTTAAAACCCCTAAAACCCCTCAAACCCTTCAATTCCCTCGCGGCAGCTGCCACCAAGCTCCTGGCCGTCAGCGTTCCAGCATTGCAGCCTGCCCTTTGCCTGCACACAGCCCTCTCTTGTTAGGGCATTCAAGCCTGCCGTTTGCCAGGCTTCACACCCTTAAAACCCTTAAAACCCCTAAAACCCCTCAAACCCTCCAATGCCTGCCCTGTGCCTGCACAGACCTCGCGGCAGCTTCCACCAAGCTCCTGGCCGTCAGCGTTCCAGCATTGAGCCTGCCCTTTGCCTGCACAGGGTTGCAGCCTGCCCTTTGCCTGCACATCCCTCGCGGCAGCTTCCACCAAGCTCCTGGCCGTCAGCGTTCCGGCATTGCAGCCTGCCCTTTGCCTGCCGTTTGCCAGGCTTCAAACCCTTAAAACCCCTAAAACCCCTCAAACCCTCCAATTCCCTCGCGGCAGCTGCCACCAAGCCCTCTCATCGTCACCCTTTGCTGCTCCAGCGTTGCAGCCTGCCCCTTTGCCTGCACATCCCTCGCGGCAGCTTCCACCAAGCTCCTGGCCGTCAGCGTTCCAGCATTGCAGCCTGCCCTTTGCCTGCACACAGCCCTCTCTTGTTAAGGCATTCAAGCCTGCCGTTTGCCAGGCTTCAAACTCTTAAAACCCTTAAAACCCCTAAAACCCCTCAAACTTTCCAATTCCCTGCCACCAAGCCCTCTCATCGTCACCCTTTGCTGCTCCAGCGTTGCAGCCTGCCCTTTCCCTGCACATCCCTCGCGGCAGCTTCCACCAAGCTCCTGGCCGTCAGCGTTCCAGCATTGCAGCCTGCCCTTGGCCTGCACACAGCCCTCTCTTGTTAGGGCATTCAAGCCTGCCGTTTGCCAGGCTTCAAACCCTTAAAACCCTTAAAACCCCTAAAACCCCTCAAACCTTCCAATTCCCTCGCGGCAGCTGCCACCAAGCCCTCTCATCGTCACCCTTTGCTGCTCCAGGGTTGCAGCCTGCCCCTTGCCTGCACATCCCTCGCGACAGCTTCCACCAAGCTCCTGGCCGTCAGCGTTCCAGCATTGCAGCCTGCCCTTTGCCTGCACACAGCCCAGGAGCCACGCAGTTGCAGCCGATGCCAAATTCGCCCCATTCCAAGTCCAAATTTCCTGGAGACTGGTCATGTCAACTTGCCATGTCAACTGATCATGTTAACCTGTCATGTCATCTCATTTTAATTGAAAAATGGCACCAAATCGATCCAAATGGCCGTTACAGGTTTTGACGGCATTCAAACGTCTCATTCAATGTCATGAAGGTCTCACTCTGGCTATATCAAAATGTCCTGCCATACCACCTTTCCATTTCCCCTAGAAATTCGTCCGCCTGGTCATTGGATGGGTCTTCAAATCTCATAGTCTGAGTGTAGTTCATGCTGAAGTTCCTACAGTAGCTAGCTGGTTCCCACTTGGAAATCCACTCTTGGCATACACTGTTGGATGGACAATCTGGCGGACGCGCTTGAAACGACAATCCTGGAAGGACTCTCCTGAAGACACTCTTGGCTGGTTGATTGTATTAATTAGATTGCGAAATATAGCGCCAAAAAGACATGCCCGTTTTTGTCGAAAATTATGAGGGTCTTTTTGGCCCCGCTTGGAAATCCAATCTTGGCATATGTTGGCTTATTTTTTTTCCAGTCACAACATACTGAGTTGGCATGAGAAAAGCATCACTCCATCAGCGCCATCGCACCTGCAATTCCATAAGTAGTCGCCTGCCGCGGGCGCCAGTGATTACGCCCGGGGGGTTGAGAAGCTGTAGTTGCAATTACCGCAATTAAAACCAATGATATATTAGAGATCGAAGAGGGACAAATTCCACTAAGATCATTATAAGCATCAATTGTCTGAATCTTGTAGCTATATTCATGTACATGCCGTACACATCTCACAAAATTGCGAACACATCATGTGCAGACGCACTGGGAATGTGGTTGCTTCGAATGCGGATCGTTGACCCCTTTCATCACAGCACCGAAAGACAATCTCACCAACCATCCGAACCTATCGGTATCCTCACGAATCACTATCCGATCCTTGTGAAACTACAACCGCTTCAACTCTAGTAGTTAAACGTTAAACCCTATTGAGCTCGGTGGAGGCAAGTTGGTGCGGGTACCGATACAAACACTCCACATAATTGTCGCAACGGAGCAACAATGCAAACCTTTATTTGCATACATGACACTTGGATGAAGCCGGCAGCGACCTCTGCCAAGACCACGACCACAACGGCTAATCCCCAACCCTAGTGCCCTGTTCTTCTCAGGCTGGCACCGAGGTTTTTAAAAACGGAGTGACGACTTCTGCACAGGCAACCACAGTCGCCCGACCATGCCATCACCAAGCTTAAGACAATCACCAGGCTCCGGCCATGACACCACCTGGTTTACACCATGACAAGATCATCTTCATGTTACCATCCATCACAGCCTGACCCGATGAAGTCCCTCGCAATCATAAAAATCATCCTGTACAGGACCAGCATCAAACGGCCCGAACTATGCTGCCATCAAACAACTCCAGCAATGACTGAGACTGCTTCTTGTGTTCGGTGACACCACAGCCCATAGCACATTGCCACGATGCTGCTCTTCTCATCCCTATCGCTTGGCACCTGTGCCCGTGTCCTCATCCGATTGATCCGTCGCATCTGGCATCTGCATGAGGCACGACATGTTGCTGTATGCATGCAGCGTCACGGGATTCGCAGGGTTAGATAACATGCCTGCAACGACGATGCACTTCCCTTCCGTGATCAGGTCGCACTCAGCATGGGAGTCGTAAAGCACCACCGTGTAACCTCACATGCTGTCACGTGGACTGCCATTCATGAATGGTACTGTGTTTGCTTTAGCCTGGTTATATCTATAGATTGATGGTAATTAACTGATGCTGTTGCTGGACAATCGCCAGACCCACCAAGTGATCATTACACTTTGGCGACTCAATGTTGGCACAGTAAATAAACTCCATTGTTTTAAAATTCATTTGCCCCTTGGATGAATATTGTCATGGTTGTTTCTCATGTTCAGCAAAAGCGGGTGTCTTGCTGGTCTGTTTCTGGCTGCTAGCAAATGCAATGCTGATTTATGGATATGGGTTTGTCTGTTATACCATGGTACCCCCAAACCATACATAAAGGGCAACCCCCAGCCACATTCACAAAATCATCACCCAAGGCCCCAAAAGATATTGAACAGGCATACCAAGCACACGAAGCCAAGCCACCCGCCGACGACGATGCATCCACGCTGCCAACCCGCAACTGCCGTTTCGCCTTTCCGTTCTCACCTGATATCGGTCCGACCTCAACGATGCGGAAAGCACAGCACACATAGCACTCCATGGCCGGAATGTCTGTCAGCTCCAACACATCGAAACTTGCAGTCGGATATGCCTCGGTTTCCGGATAGTCCTTCAAGATCTGAATGGATGACCTGGGACAAGATCCGGCATCAAACCTTAACCCTGGACAAATGCCAAGCAACGCTCCCAGTTTCACCTCTTCCCACACAAAGCCTACCCAACTCATTCACCACAAAGCTACAGTTGTCATCCAAGCAACTGCACAGCATCACGCCTTCGTTTCGGTGCGGGAAGGGACACGCTCAGCTCCACAGGAGCCAGATCGGACAGCACCAAGCTCTCCGGAATGATCTTCTGCGGGTTACGCCATGCTTCGCGCACCTCGATGTCATTCAGCATGATCACATCATCGAGCTTGGGCAACGGGTTCGGTGTGATGTTCACCTTTACAAGGGCGGTCACCACTGAGTCCTTGCCCTCAACACGCTTGCCCGAGATCGCAAACTTGAAGCCTGGATAACGACCTGGTAATGCTCACGACCATTCCAAGACACCGAACTTTTGAGCCGTCTCACCATGATCTTTCTCCTCTATCATCGTGAAGATATCTTGTTGTTGAAAACCACATTGCTTGTTGAAATCAGCATCATTGGACACATGAGCCGACTCCGATTGAGCAACAATGGAAATGCCATTACTTCGGCCGTATACCCTAGAATGAATCCTCTCTTTGCTGCACTCAGTACCATGACACTGCACTATAATGCCACTATTGCTGATGGATGCTTTATCCTGGATTACCTGGGATGTCTCTGGAATTGTCAGCCCTTGGCTGCAATTGAATCATTCGCCAAAAGAACCAAACCAAATCAAACCAAGGTACCAGGAGTGAAGCCAAACACATAGATCACGCGACCAACGCTGCACACAGTCCCCAAAGGCAGAGGCCTCATGCTGGTCAATTCGGCTAGACCCATCACCTCCTTCTTTTTCTCGGGCACTGCAGCAGCACTTCCACCAGCCGCACTGGAAGCCTTGGCCTTATTGAACCGCACCATCGCCCACACACACACACACAATTCACACCAAGATCGGCAGAGCCACCCTGCAGAATGCTGCAACATCCAGCTTGCCCAATGTGCTCCCATGAGTTGCAACATACAGCGTGCCCAATGTGCTCCCATGAGTTGCGACAGCATCGTTGCAAATCGTATGCAGATTGGTGGAATTAGTACCTCTCACCAGACATCGCGCCAATCCCCAACCCCAGAGCCCTGTTCTTCCCATACTGCCACAGAGGTTTAAAAATGGGCGACGACTTCTGCACGGTTAATGGATTTGCCCAACCGTGCCATCACCAAGTCTGAAGAAATCGCCAGGTTGCGGCCATGACACCAACTGGTTGACACAATGACAACATCTTTTTCACGATACCATCCATCACAGCCTGACTTGATGAAGTCCCTCGCAATCATGGAAAATCATCCTGTACAGGACCAGCATCAAACGGCCCGAGCTATGCTGCCATCAAACAGCTCCAGCAATGACTGACTTGCCTTCGCTGACACCACAGCCCATGCCAAATGCTGGAAAATGGCCACTCTCTGCCATTCACATCGCCTCACCACCTGCCAGATCTTCCTCCTCATGGGGCTGCGCATATACTTTTAACCCAGAGACTCTTCACCCAGAAACTCTTCACCCAGAAACTGCTTGCACAGGCATTTCACCCAGAGACTCTTCACCCAGAAACTCTTTTTGCAAATACTTTTCACCCACATACTTTTCACCCAGAGACTCTTCACCCAGAAACTCTTCTTGCACATACTTTTCACCCATATACTTTTCACCCAGGGACTCTTCACCCAGAATCTCTTCTTGCACATACTTTTCACCAATATACTTTTCAACCAGAGACTCTTCACCCAGAAACTCTTCACCCAGAAACTGCTTGCACAGGCATTTGACCCATATACTCTTCACACAGAGACTCTTCACCCAGAAACTCTTCTTGCACAGACATTTCACCCATATACTCATCACCCAGAGACTCTTCACCCAGAAACTCTTCTTGCACAGACATTTCACCCATATACCTTTCACCCAGAGACTCTTCTTGCACATACTTTTCAACCATATACTTTTCTTTCACCCAGAGACTCTTCACCCAGAAACTCTTCTTGCACATACTTTTCACCAATATACTTTTCACCCAGAGACTCTTCACCCAGAAACTCTTCTTGCACATACTTTTCACCCATATACTTTTCACCCAGAGACTCTTCACCCAGAAACTCTTATTGCACATACTTTTCACCCATATACTTTTAACCCAGGGACCCTTCACCCAGAAACTCTTCTTGCACATACTTTTCACCCATATACTTTTAACCCAGGGACTCTTCACCCAGAGACTCTTCACCCAGAAAACCTTCTTGCGCATACTTTTCACCCATATACTTTTCACCCAGAGACTCTTCACCCAGAAACTCTTCTTGCACAGATTTTTCACCCAGAGACTCTTCACCCAGAAACTCTTCTTGCACATACTTTTCACCCATATACTTTTCACCCAGAGACTCTTCACCCAGAAACTCTTCTTGCACATACCTTTCACCCATATACTTTGCACCCAGAGACTCTTCACCCCGAAACTCTTTTTGCACATACTTTTCACCCAGATACTTTTCACCCAGAGACTCTTCTTGCACATACCTTTCACCCATATTCTTTTCACCCAGAGACTCTTCACCCAGAAACTCTTCTTGCACATACTTTTCACCCATATACTTTTCACCCAGGGACTCTTCACCCAGAATCTCTTCTTGCACATACTTTTCACCCAGAGACTCTTCACCCAAAAACTCTTATTGCACAGACTTTTCACCCAGAAACTCTTCTTGCACATACTTTTCACCCACATACTTTTCACCCAGAGACTCTTCACCCAGAAGCTCTTCTTACACATACTTTTTACCCGCGCATTTTCACCCATAGACTCTTCACCCAGAAACTCTTCTTGCACATACTTTTCACCCATAGACTCTCACCCAGAAACTCTTCTTGCACATACTTTTCACCCATATACTTTTCACCCAGAGACTCTTCACCCAGAAACTCTTCTTGCACAGACATTTCACCCTTTTCACCCAGAGACTCTTCTTGCACATACTTTTCGCCCATATACTTTCACCCATATACTTTCACCCAAAGACTCTTCTTGCACATACTTTTACCCATATACTTTTCACCCAGAGACTCTTCACCCAGAAACTCTTCTTGCACATACTTTTCACCCATATACTTTTCACCCAGAGACTCTTCACCCAGAAACTCTTCTTGCACATACTTTTCACCCATAAACTTTTTACCCACAGACTCTTCACCCAGAAACTCTTTTTGCACATACTTTTCACTCATATACTTTTCACCCAGGGACTCTTCGCCCAGAAACTCTTCTTGCAGATACTCTTCACCCTTTTCATCCAGAGACTCTTCACCCAGAAACTCTTCTTGCACATACTTTTCAACCATATACTTTTCACCCAGAGACTCTTCACCCAGAAACCCTTCTTGCACATACTTTTCACCCAGAGACTCTTCACCCAGAAACTCTTCTTGCACATACTTTTCACCCATATACTTTTAACCCATAGACTCTTCACCACGAAACTCTTCTTGCACATACTTTTCACCCATATACTTTTAACCCAGAGACTCTTCACCCAGAAACTCTTCTTGCACATACTTTTCCCCCTGATACTTTTCACCCAGAGTCTCCTCACCCAGAAACTCTTCTTGCACATACTTTTCACCAGTATACTTTTCACCCAGGGACTCTTCACCCAGAAACTCTTCTTGCACATACTTTTCACTCATATACTTTTCACCCAAATACTTTTCATCCAGAGACGCTTCATCCAGAAACTCTTCTTGTACATAGTTTTCACCCAGAGACTCTTCACCCAGAAACTCTTCTTGCACAGACTCTTCACCCAGAGACTCTTTACCCAGAAACTCTTCTTGCACATACTTTTCACCCATATTCTTTTCACCCCGAGACTCTTCACCAAGAAACTCTTCTTGCACATACTGTTCACCCACATACTTTTCACCCAGAGACTCTTCACCCAGAAACTCTTCTTGCACATACTTTTCAACCATATACTTTTCACCCAGAGACTCTTCACCCAGAAACTCTTCTTGCACATACTTTTCACCCATAAACTTTTTACCCACAGACTCTTCACCCAGAAACTCTTTTTGCACATACTTTTCACCCATATACTTTTCACCCAGAGACTCTTCACCCAGAAACTCTTCTTGCACATACTTTTCACCCATATACTTTTCACCCAGGGACTCTTCACCCAGAATCTCTTCTTGCACATACTTTTCACCCAGAGACTAGACTCTTCACCCAGAAACTTTCTTGCACATACTTTTCACCCAGAGACTCTTCACCCAGAAACTCTTCTTGCACATACTGTTCACCCATATACTTTTCACCCAGACTCTTCACCCAGAATCTCTTCTTGCACAAGCATTTTACCCAGAAACTCTTCTTGCACAGACATTTCACCCAGAAACTCTTCTTGCACATACTTTTAACCAATATACTTTTCACCCAGAGACTCTTCACCCAGAAACCCTTCTTGCACATACTTTTCACCCATATACTTTTCAACCAGAGACTCTTCTTGCACATACTTTTCACCCAGAAACTCTTCTTGTCATAATTTTTCACCCATATACTTTTTACCCAGAGACTCTTCACCCAGAAACTCTTCTTGCACATACTTTTCACTCATATACTTTTCACCCAGAGACTCTTCACCCAGAAACTCTTCTTGCACATACTTTTCACCCATATACTTTTCACCCAGGGACTCTTCACCCAGAAACTCTTCTTGCACAGACTTTTCACCCAGAAACTCTTCTTGCGCAGACTTTTCACCCATATACTTTTCACCCAGAGACTCTTCACCCAGAAACCCTTCTTGCACATACTTTTCACCCAATGTCCTTCTCTCTCCAATCTCCTCTAACTAGCTGGCCCATCTATCTGTCCATTTACGAAACCCCCAGAAAACCGGACCTAGGGGGAATCGATACCCACCGTCACTGTTTTGCCGCCTGGTACATTACCCTGCAAAACCATACTTTTTTCTCACTCAAATCACCACCTATTTTCCCGATTTTTGACCCGTTTGGCAACAACCCCCCCCCAGACTCCCTATTCTCACTCCGTTCGCAAATAACAACTAGCCAGCTTCCCGGCTGGCTTTCGTAAAAAACAACTCAAATACATGTCGCTTCTTGAATATCGTCTTGCCTCAGAAGATTCTAAATCAAATGTTGCGTCCGCTGTGGCTGCAGGTCCGGAGTGAGCGTTCTCAAATGCCTACATGTGGCGAGCAGGCTTCAACTAAATGTGCTTTCCATGAAACAACGCAGCCTTTCTGAACAGCAAAAAGCAACGGACATCACCAGCGTCCATGGACCTTTCGGGAATTAAAAATACGAATCCCGTCTCATCTGCACTATGTGGGACGCGCGCTTCCAAATCCCCAGCAGTAAACAATTGACATTAATGACTCCAAAGCGCACAGACTCCCAGCAAGTCTGCAATGCCATAGCGCAACCACTTTGGCGAACCAAGGCACAAATGTAACTATACTGACTTACCATTCACTAACCATCAATTATATAACCACTGGAGAAAAAAAGCAACGAATGTCAATCCTTCTTCCACGTCACCTTGCCTCAGAAGGGGCAGCGGCTGGTGTTTCTTCTGCTGCTCCATTGTCAGCATTCTCAGACGCCTACAGGTTGTCAGCAGGCAAAATGGAAGTTCCGTCTGAATCAACACCAGCAAGTTTATCAACGGTTATATAGTTTTTACACAACCAAGCCTAAAATATCATGTGTTGACAGATTCCGCCGGCAAATAAACGATACAACCAGCGCAGCAGATGTCAGGGCTCGAGAGTTCAAAACGCATAATCGGTCCCTGTTTCTCGCATGAAAAGTGTCGACGTTTTCAATCGTGTTATCC